AGTAAAAAGTCCACCACAGGTAACTAGTATTTTTGTACAGGTGCTGACGTGATACATAAGAGATGCAGAATAAACAATAATTATCAGTAAATGATTCTTAAAGTGTTTCAAATTCTATAAAACTTTAAATTCATCCGTAAGCACACCCTATTTGTGACATTTCCAGTTGTATATGAGACCGACTTTGAACTTGTCAGCCGATTTTATAATATAGGTGGTCCCGTTATTTACCAGATGAGCTAGCCATATCACGAATAAGTGGAGAATAGCAGCGCTGTATCAGTACCTTCGTTGAAGGCAGTACCTTTGAAAAAAGAAGAAGACACATTTCATTCTATTTCTTGTATGGTGCAAATCACTCACCATTTTATACAAAATAGTGAAAGAAAGAAATTATATGCTGCTTGCTTGACTTTGTGCACAAAATTAGTTCCATTTGTCTGTGGTCACTGCTATTAAGAACTTCTATAAAGAATGTAACATTTCGCTTTTCTCTTAATGCCTTTTCCTTATATTAATCTTGAATATAATCCTCTGTTTGATAAAACACTTTTGGCGAGACAATTCTCACTGATTGGTTGAGGTCTTTTGGTGCGCCTCCTATTTTCGATGCTATTCTAGTAATGCTAACAATGAATTATGACTTGTACTGTAAGTGAATAAACGCAACTGCTTATTAGGCTTTCAGCAGTAACTAGCAACGGTGATTTAAGCCTCAGGAAACCCCATGGTATAGGAACAATTCATTATGCTTGAAATACATAGAATATATAGAAAATCACAATCATTTGAGTGAGATTCCACATTTTGATATTACCTCATTCATCTCCCAGATTGATTGGTACTACAAATGCGCTAGTGTGATCAAGACATTGTTATAGAGACTAAAACTTACAGTTGTCATGGGGGATGAACCACAATTGTCAATGTGAAGCTATTTGCACGTGAATCAGTTTTGGGGAAGTTCGCCAGCGGAGTTTTTATGCCGTGGGTATTATTATAAGTCGCCAAGTAACTGCTTTATCTATCGTCACCTTGGGCAGCGAATTAATGTTATCAAACTGAAATAGGAATTAGGGACAGATGCAAGGAAGGCAAAACGGTTGGCAGTTTTTCTAATTCTGATAAATATTCACATAAACACTTTCATAGCAATCGTAAAATGTATTGATACCATAACTAGTTACGTTAACCGTTTACTACAACCAAGAGTTGACATCTCTGTCTTTCCTGGTTAAGTACGTATGAAGTGGATCATGTCCATGCATGTTAAATCAAAGTGATGGAGCTAGTAATAGATATTGGTGAGTGGCATTACATTTGATGAGCTTACTGACTTATGAGTTAAAAACTACAAGCATATTCGCGTTGCTTACACTACCTATCGGTCTATCCTGGTTGACTGAGAACTTATTTAGGAGACAGTCAGCCCACACAATGGTCTATCAATGAACTATAACAACTAAATTGTTTTGAATTCTGAGATTTCAAGTGATTCTTGAGTTAGACTCCAGTACTGGTCCACAGGACTGTATAATTGGTTGGCGGTCTTGTGAGATGCTCTATAATCGGAGATCCATAACGGTTACCACGGACAAAACCATATCATGACCTTAGTGCTTGTAGAGCGTAGTATTTTTTCACCCCCTTGATTTTAAGTTTGTCACAAGTTGAATAACATTGAGAACAAACCGGAAGTAATCCAAGTGAAGTCGACTGCCCACTTTGCACATCAAACTCCTAAAAGTCGATAAACGAAACTATGAGTGATTCACTTACAAGCCAACGTGTTTTAGAAACGTTAAAGTCAGTTTGATAATAAAATTTTCCTTTATTAGACAATATCATGCTTACACCTACGACATAATTAATTTTGTGTCGCTTTGAACAATCTACTTCCAAAGTTAAGTCAAGACTATTACTGGCAGTGCTAATCCGTCTGCACCTCTCAGTGTTAAACTCCAAGCAGGACTTAACACACCACGGTGCAGCACTAATATAATTACCAAATGAAGATTACTTACAAGTTAATTTGACTGATGACTGCATAAAAACAGAGTTACCAAGGTCACCAACTGGTGCAGACGGTCTTCCCCATGTGAAACAACTACAAACACTGGTAATGTGGGCCATAAAAAGAAGCCCGCCGAGAGTGCTAACCTGCAAAGTCAAAGTCGTGATCTATTCAGGAACAGACTAAACCCAGGGATCATTTTGACCACTTAGGTAATGGCCTGCAAATTCCTAAAGGGTACAACTTCTAGGAGAGTATGCTGTGATGACAAAGCCAGATGTCTTGGATATATCGGTGAAGAGAACAATAACTTGTTTTTGTGAGATTTGGATGCTAGGGATGCAGTAGGGAAAATCAGAGGTAGATGAATCAGAGTCTTCTGGGGACGCCGGTGTTGAGACTCTTAAGGAGACCTCCAAGTAAATATTCAGAGAATTTAACTTTTACAAATTTTCCACGACTCACTGGATGACTCGACTTGTAATAATGATTATGGACATGCTGTTTATTACTAGATTTACAGCATAGGATTGTGCAGGTAGCCTCCCGTTCACTAGGGTGCCGATTGCAGTTGACAGAGACGGTAACTAAAAGGGATGGAGGCCGCTTCCGGCAATCGCTGAAGACTGGAAGTTCATAACCAGTGAGTGGTCTGATTTTTCCAATGGCTTCTCCTATGGTTTTCATGTTAAACGTGACAACGCGACCTTGAGTCGGTTTTTATTATACTGAAGCACGCCACCCAACTGCTGAGCATATCCTAAATGGTGGTTGTGCTGATTTAGATCACCAAACAGGCCGAATCTTAGCCACTCTGCTCTCAATGGTCATTTGGCTTACCTGTGCTTAGGGGATCAGATTGAAGGCAACTGCACTTTAAGGACTGCGTGATTATAATAACAATAATAAAAAAATAAAAAAATTAATAAAATTATGTTTCCCTGTAATCTCTATACCGTCGTTAGTAAATACACTGTCGAATAGGCATAAGGGTTATGTCCCCACTTCTCTAGATGAAGAGGCGTTAGTATCAGGCTGGCCAGCAGGTTAGGTAATCCAGGCTTAAAGCCAACAGACAGTGTTGTCAGAGCTAATGTATAGTAGTATAGATGGCTACACAACAATTATATACTCCATTTCTATTCGGAGCTAAACGGGAAACTAAATCGAAGTCCTCCAAGAAGCGTAACTAACTAGAAGGCTACCATAGCTGTTATTGACCACAAAGAATATTTCGTCACAGGGCTGGCTAGTTGATCTTTGAGGAGCGAAATGTTCCAAACGTTTTGAAGTTAATACGGGTGCAAAACATTAACCCATTTGCACACACATTTCCGAGGTTGTCACTTTCTATATACTTAGTCCACAAGAATCTGGTCTTTGTCGAAATGTCAGTTGCTCGCAGTGAATCAGGCATTGTATTCAGTGATTTTTATTTCCTTCACCATCACGAGATGATCCATTTTCGGTGGTGACATTGTATAAGCTGTCTTTTAGAGAGCATGTTAACTCCAATATGTAAGCCTTTTCTTTAGGGCACAGAGAAGTATTTGTTCCCTGACGTTTCTCTCCTTCAACTCTCGAAAAAATGGCATTATTAGCAGTCTGAGTGGCAACGGCTTGAATCTTACAATAAATCCGGTATTTGGTTTGTTGTTATTAGGGTAGTGGTGAAGCAGCGACGAATGTTAAAATGATCGCCATACTAATTGAGTTGAGTACAGAGATATCCCTTTGCTTCTTGGTGGGTGCATGTGTTATGTAAGAGGAATCTAGGTTTAGTCTGCTACTAATGGATGGAGTTTACTCATAATACTTGTCCACAAGGACACCAATTGTACTGCAGTGGGTGGTAGGACTGCTTGCTGGATGGACGGAGAAGTTATGATAACCTCATTTTGCTGTATGACAAGGAGTGATATTGTTGTGAGTGCTGTCTGCAAGCCAAAACTGAAGACAACAATTCACGTCATTGTTTACGTCCTGAATCCTAGTCATGAAAAAACATTAACAAAGTTTAGCCTTAAGGAACTCATCAACCAGCCACAACAGACCAACGTGTGCAAATACGATTCGCAGATATATGACCTGACTTTGTAAGAAACGGCCACCAGGAGGTGACAGAATAACTTTCAGCAAGAAAGCAACCAAATCAGAAGGCGTTGCTTCTTTTACAACAATAATATACATAAAAGTTTATAAATACCCCGTCATTTTCTCAACAAACTATCTGTTTCATGGCCCTTATCTTCTACTGTTACGATATGATAGGTCCTTCAAGTAAGCATTCGCACCCATTATGTAACTCGTTTATTTCATCACAAGCAACCTGATCTAACTTCCTCAGTTTTTATAATTATGTTCAGCTTGAGGTACACGTGTATACAGTATGTATATATACAGGAAAGTGTGAAATTCAACTTTTCTTTCTAAAGTCCACGAGGAGTGAATTTCCTTTCAGCCCGGTTGATAAAAATGTAATTAAGTCTCATAAATATAGTTTTACACAAGTAGAGACTATAGGTCGAATAAACAAGTAGTGCATTTATTAGCCCTGGAGTAGTGAGACATCATTCATTTTTTAAAATGTGAAAAAATCATGATGATAATCTACTTCAGTGAATAAATTTGTTGCAGTGAAAACAGGGAAAACATTATATCTGATTAGGCTTTTCACTGATTTCTCCTACTTTTAGAGGAATATATAATTAAAAGTGCAACAGAAAATCTGTTGATTTTCCCTGGTGCCAAAACTATGTTACTGTGGATGTTCATGTTTTCGGTGCGAATATTTGAGGCAATTTTGACCATATTAAGAGTAGAGATTATCGTACACCAGAAGCAAAAACACACTAAATTTGTTTTTTCCGCAGTTTAAGCATCTGTTTGATGTATTGGTAAGGTATACATTGTCGTCTTATGATAACTGTTTCAGAAAGTCTCAACTCATATTTCCCTATGGCATTGGACATTGTTCCTTTCAGTTCAAACTAGTGCCAATTTCAAGCTCAAGTGACCTTGACGTTTTACTTTTCCGGCATTTACATGGGAATTAGGACTGTGCATAATTGAGAATTGTTATCGGAAGTAAGTTCTTTTCAAAGCGGCTATCATATTTGTTCTTTGTGGACGAAAAATCTGTTTTGGTATCACTGGAAATGTTAACCTAAGTGATCACTCGTAATCAATTTCTATCATGTTGAAACAGTTATCCTATGGAATGAACTTCATAGAATTCAATACCTAATAAATGTGACAGATATGCATAAATAGAATGTGATTAAAACTTTCATGTGGCCGAAGATTAAGGTCCCGTAGCTGAATTCACAAACAGTTGTGCTCATATAAAAAAATCAAGGTCTGGTAGGGCAAACTAAGTTTAACCTCCGTAATTTTGTGTCTCGGATATTGAAGTTCATAGCTTGCTTTTTACTTATAGTTTGAGATTCATCGTTGGATGGGCTACATGGAGAGTTGTAAACTCTCTGACTGAGGCCCTCCAGACGCTATAATAATAATTTGCTTTATTCCAAAACAGTACTTGTGATAAAGAATGGAATTCTCAGCATTTCACTACAGTACTGCATCCAGTTTGTACATCAACAAAAAATAAACATCATAGATTATGGGTAATCTCAGTTTACTTTTGACAACAACACGACATGTCGGTAGCAAAGCCCAAAAATTGAACAGTGTTTGAAGGTGTTAAAAAAGTATATGCCAGCATATTTACTGGCGTAAGCGGTAGCAAAAAGGTTGAGATATACAGAATGTTAAAGAAAGAAGAAGAATGTTTTAAATAGAGTTTGTAAGGAAGAAAGAAACAAAGCAGCGAATAACAGAAAAAAGGAAAAGAGAGAAAGAAAACGTCGTACCTATAAACGATATGAGTTGGAAAGAACTAATTGCTTAAGACTGTTGGTGATATGGCTCAAAATCGAGTCTTTGGCGCAGATGTCCCCGTTGTTTGTAATCTCACAGGCCTACCATTATTTTCCATGATAATGTACATTAATGAAGTGTAGTTGTTTTAGGGCGTAGTTAAACCATAACAGCCTCTTACGTAGATGACATTCGACAAATAGGGTTTTGAGATTGTGAAATCAAATCTACTTCTGCCTCCTTTTATGGATTTTCTTTACGCGCTTCGGGAAGACAGTGTTTATTTACTGTGGGGACACTGAATTATTCGGAGTTACTAAAGTTATGCATGTGGGGGTTGGAAAAGCTTGAGGGAATAACTAGTCTTCTAAGGGGAGATTAGAAAACAGAGTAAGAAGTATAAATGAATGCCGAGAAATTGTGATACACAGTTATCTTTTTAACAATTTTCGACCTTTATCGCCCCTTAATTCAGATTAGATTTTCAGTCAGTGGTAATGTCAGTCGCGGCTGGCTGCTGTAGTTTTACTTCGAACCCTGTACTTATGAATATAATGCAGTAAATGTTTTTATATTGACGGGTCCGTTGTTCATTTAGCTTGCAAATTCACTTGCCTCAAGGTGTAAATTACGTAGTGTGAGCACTACAACAAACCGTCGCTTTGGATCTATTTCAAATGGTTCTTTCTCACTTAATTTATCAGTTTTGCATAACAGTGAGGTGTCAGTTGTACCAAATTAAGACTTTACATCTTGAAGTTGCTGCCTTTATATACTAAAAATCGATTCCCACCACGTTGATTGTCGTACAGACATGACTCAAGTATGAGACTTGAAATCTCTTTCAGCGACAACAATTTTCCCTTTTCCGGACTTCGAGGTTGTTTAATTGGTAAATTCGTTTTTGGTGTACTTTAGTGTAGCACATCAGCGTACGTAGTCATTAAAAGCAGCGTATGTTGTGATAGTACAATATAAATGCATTGGGACGCATGTATAGAATGACGGTGTACAGCTGGACAGTGATAAGTCGCACTAAGCGGAAAAAATAGCACAATGTTGGTACAGAGTATACTGTTTGCACAGATGAATTGGTCATCTAACAATTTTCCCAGTTTTCCAAGAAAACAGTAAATTAACTTTTTATCATGTAACTCAATTTCAAAGTAAAAACTATCAGTTACATCAGTCTAAAACTTTATTGTGTTACACCTTTCTGGAGGTACATCCTGTTTCTAACAATAAATGCTAAACATATTTTGGGTCGTTTGTTAGGCAGCATGACTGTAACCAATTGTTTCAGAAAAATAAATAATTTCAAAAGTCTAGTTGACAAACATAACAAGTCCCATAAATAGTTGGAATAACTAGAAATACAGTGACAATAGGGCATAATTGTTAGGCGCGGTTTTACAGGTAGCTTTCATCCCATCACCCCTAAATAGGTAGTTGACAATGTGTCGATCTTAATTTCACAGAAGTGAACTCAAGCAAATCATTTTTTCCACATACTATTCAGACTCCCATTCAGTCTGACAAACAAGCGTTGAATTTTGCACGAAATTACAGTCTCAAGTTATCACACTTCTTAACAGTGATAAAAAAGAAATAGACAGATTCGAAGTAATTTTTAATTAGATATGAAGGATCCCAATGCATGAATGACTAAATAACTGTCTAAATGTTGGATGTCTCTACGATAAATTATGGATAAGTCTGATTTTCACTTGGTTCTGATGTTTGAGGAGTTAGGTGATGTAGAAAGTAAAAGTGATGTAGTATTGGCAGGTATAATTACAGTCGTCTAGACTTCATGAGGAAGACAGTGTTCAGCATGTGCTTCGGTTAGATGGATGACGTTACAGAACTGGTTCACTTAAGAATGCGGAGTAGGGTGGTCGATTGCGGTAGCCGCTTTACCTATGTGAGAAGTTATGTCGCTCCAGTAGGCTGCTGGCTGATGGAAAATTAGCACATGTTCGTTTGGCGTTCTCCAGCTTGATCCTCGTTAGTGAATAGATGCCAGGCTACCTATAGAGAACCAGCGTATTACGTTGTAGTCCAGCTTGTTCTGTCCTACTTTACTGCAGTAAGCCGTAGCTTCATCCTGCCAGTCATGTTGATTGGAAAGGAAAAATAGGTTATGTTGGTATTGCACATAGTGTTAGATAATTAAGGTAAGTTAATTGAAAAGGTTGTCAATCTTTCCCGAATGCGATAGCTGGAACATGAATTATACATATCGAGTCATCAACTTAATAGAAGAGGAATGCTTATTCAATTTAGTTGAAAGCGAATTAGGAGTGATACGATCTAAACATTTAAAGTGTATGGTCTAAATAGTAGTGTAGGTTCTCTAGTTTGGGTCACTTGTGCAGACTCTAAACATGACTCAAAACCGTTCAAGGTGATACTGATTTATTTATCCCTCACCATCTTCAAAATTCGTAATTAGTGTCAGTTAAGCGGCATAGATTTGTCATTTGTCACGCCACGGACCACAGTTGTATGATGAATGGTGGTACTACCAAGAAGTCCAATCTGCAGTAAGTGGAGTGGGGTTGGGATTCTGAACCCGTTAGGTGGAAATCAAAATCCCTAAGGATTTTTGATTTTTTGATTTTTTTTCCTACACATTTATATTCTGCTGTATCACGCATTATTTTTTCTCATAATATTTATACACATGGAAACTTGAACTAATATACTTTTGTGCAAAGTTATACGCTGACTTGTTAGTCAGTGTGTCGGTGATCTCCACCATCAGATTTCTACTATCAAATTCATCTGAAGGAAAACTTCGTAGTCTCGTTGCACTATCATCCGTAGCTTCCTTGCAGTTCACAAATACTGTAGCTAATTTTGATGTGGTTGTGTTCTCTGAGCTGGATGGTTTACTTGCGAAGCTTTCATCCCCTACTGGGTGGCATCTTCAGCGCATACTTCAATTTGAGCACGTTGTTGACTTTACATTTTCATGTTCGCAATCGTATTGTTCGATCCTCACATACTAAGTTGTTTTTCCCTATCTAAACTCATTATTACTCACTGAGATTCTGTCACACATATGAACTGTCATTAGGGTACAGTTAAAAACCTCTGTTTGTGGTCATTAATAATAAATTATTGGGCAGCATAATTGAAGAGCTAGTCATCATAATCGTTAGGAATTTAAGGCATTTTTTTATCAAGCTGGTGTGGACTTTTCTGATCAACCTAGTTTATAAAATAAGCGATAAATCCTCCGTTGCCTTCTTGGAAGTCACCATATATTCTGACCTGGAGCCAACATTCTGTCCAGTCGATTAACAGGCATTGTGATAATATCTAGCTGTGAAGTAAGCACTGAAAAGATTCATTCATTCATAGAGGTGTTCTGCTTGAACTCATTCGCTTTTTTATTTTTACTAACAAGCCGACTTGCTATAACCAAACGGAAACGGCAGCTGTTTTTAAAGTTTGACCTTATCATCTAAGGTGTTTGAAGTAAAATTGGCCTTTCTAGAAAAGAGATTGGTTAACTGGATTTTTGCTTATTCTTTTTGGAAATTTGATTATGATCATGCTTCATATGATATTATTGTCCCTACTTGATTATGGTTACGAGGACTCTCGCTAAGAACATACTTGCATTTAGCTACTAACATTGTTTTTCCTGGAAGTCGTTTTGAAGGCAATCCGACCCTGAAGGTGTCAGTCTGTTATCGTCATCAATGAGTTGGATATGTATTACCGATATGTCGATAATACATTTATCTTAGCTGATGAGAATGTTAACATAGATGAATTGTTGCGGAAATTCCACAACATCCACCCTTCGCTTACCTTTACTTGTGAAGAGGAGCAGGAGAATAAACTACATTTCCTGGATGTCTTGCTAATTAGGAGAGAAGATAGGTCACTTGGGAGAAGTACAGAAAAAGCACATTCACAGGACAATACACACACTTCCTTAGTTACGTGCCCATTAAATATAAAAGGAATGTTGTAAAATGTCTCGCGAGCAGAGCAAGGAAGATATGTACGGATGACCTCTTACAAAAGGAATTTGAATATATTCACGATTCCTTGACGGAGATGGGCTATCCGAGTAGTTTCATAAGGAAACATATAAAAATATCAGAGGAAAAACCTGAGACTCTGACTGCACATAAGAAACCTCTATTTGTTAAGTTACAATTTAATGGTGACTTATCAAGTGAGATTCTATTCCAAAGACTTTCAAGGAGTATGCGTAGAACATTTTACGCAGCACACCTATGTTGGTCATTCTCTAGCCGACGAATGATTGGGACGCAAACGAAGGATAAGCTTGATAGTTTTGCCACATCTATGTGTATTTATCAATTCAACTGCAACTGCGGTGACAGTTATGTTGGGCGTACTACTAGACAGCTTAGCCAACGTGTTAGTGAACATCTCCCATCGTGGTTTGGTAAAGGACAGACAAAAACAATCCGTAACTCAATTCTGTCACATTTAATTGATAGTGGTCATGTAGTCGAGAAAACAAAAGCGTTCAAAGTAATTTATCGCATCCCACCGAATCTTTCTAATAGACTTCGTATTCGTATTGCACGCAGCTGAGGCGATAGGCATTCGAACTATTAAACCTAAACTATGCATTCAAAAGAAGTTCGTACAGCCATTATCTCTCCCTTGGCCTATTAAGACAACCAACTAATGACTTCTACACCACCCCTTATTTATATTTTCAACCCATTTCTTATCATCCCTTAATCTTATCTTCATTATAAACGTGTTTCATTTCCATCCCTTATAATCTAACGTTACTTAGTCGGTTCATTTGTTTCTACTAGCCTTTATCGACTACTTCCACCTGAACAATTGTTTATTTAATCATATTGTTTTTCATTATTCGTGTTATCACAGATTGCCTCACTTTTTCATCCTTATTATTGATAAGACCATTATTATTATCATAACCATTATTAATATTATCATTACTACTATTATGACTGATTGCACAATTTATATTCACCATCGTATTATCCTATAGACAAAACACGATTGGTTTATATTTGAATTTTATTTGTAAACTTATACATATTAGAGTTAAGCCTGATGAGATCTAATTGAAAACAATATTGTTCGCTTAAATGTGTTGTTCATATATATATATATATATATATATCAGTGAACCTTATTAAACATTTTGGTTTTCAGGTCATTCAGATCTTGTGATTAATTTTGAATGGCAATATGGATGCAACGAAGGTTAACACCCGTTTATTGCAGTATGATGGAGTTTGTCAGGATTCACAATTATCAAAACCGATGGAAAGAAAGGTAATTTGTTACTTTAACGCAAAACACACTTATAAAATACAGCTAGATTCAGTAAACAATATTCCTCTCGGTTCAGTAATGCCTCATCAGTTAACTAATTCATCGGTTGATACGCCTCCAATATCTTCAGTCTATCTTGAACAAGGAGAATACTTTTTTGACGATGAGTTCGCGGAGCCAGAGGATCCACATTTACATGAAAATGGGGATGAAGCCATTAGATATACACTAATGGTACAGTCAGTAGATTGCGATCGGAAGCCTTTACCGGATGTAGTTGGTCAGTTTCGTTCTGATTCTTGCATATTCAGTCCAGTCAATTCAAGAGAAAGTAATCTTAGTAGTTCTAAAGTTCCTGGGAATCATTCAGTTGACAGCAGTAATTATGAGAAAGACGATGTAGTATTGAAAGATGCTGATTGTAAAAATCTTAACTCAAAGACAAGATTCCATCACCCCTCGTCCAAGAAAATGAATGAAGTAGACGAAGGGCACGCAAATGAATCTGAAAGTTCAGTTCAATGTAGTACGTCAGGTTCCACAAGTTGGATGAACATGCTTATGGAACGTTCTTGCAATCCTGAACTTCGGGCTCTGATCAACAGAACTGCTGCAGCCGTCGATTACAAACTTGCGTATGGTGATTCTATTGCATTTCAACGCCAGCTTGAAGATAGATCAACTGAATCACTAAAATGTAATGTGTCAGATTTAGGACCAGACAGTCGTTCATTGAGCCAGGGGAATCTCTTAACTGTTACTAGTTTGGCAGGTTTACGTCACGCTTTAGATCAAACCACTCAAGTACTGCCTAAATATGTCGCGCGAAATCCTGAATTGTGTTCTGTTGGAGTTTCTGCTGACCTTATCTCTGACACGATGACTCTGTCTCATAAAAATAAGGATTCTAGTGAGACGACAACTTCAAATACAACAACTTGGGCTAAAAAGCATGGCAGTCGAGAAAGTCTGAAGAGAAGATCTCTTAGACCAACTGACCTGACTGTCTTTCCATATCCTAATGTCGATAAGAATAGTGAAGCTGAACATGACGGTAAAACAACTTGGCAAAGTATCAAAGAGGCTAATGGAGCTCTAATAACATGGAATCAACTTAAACGAGTGGTCAAACGAGCTGAGAGTCTTGGGAAGTCATCTAGCGTCCGTGAAAGCCGCCGAGACCAACATGATCCGACTGGTGTTTTGATTTCTAAACAAGCTATGACTAGTTCAGTTAAAAATCGTTCACATTCCCAACCCATATCCGGTGCTTGCCATATGCATCGCTTCTCAGGAACACTGTTAGAGATATTTATGCGCGCTAGAGCTCGAGGTACATCATCCTTCGGTGATGGTTCTGTTACTGACTTGAATGGATCTTTACATAAAGATAATTCAAATTCTGCTTATTCAAATCCTGCTTATTTAATAAATCAAGGCTATGAACGGGCAGACATGGTTATGAATAGGCGAAATTGTCAACCAGGAGTAACCAATTCACCACGTATTTCAGGCAACAGAAAATCTTGTTTGTTCGATGGAATAGACCCACGAAGATCAGTTAATGAAAATGACAAGTATCTGCTACTACGCAGGGACAAGATTTTGCCGAATAAGGGTAATATCCAGTTTTCACCCTTGTACACTAGTGCTGACGCTGTTGCTCGTTCTATGCGTAACTTTGGAGCCCAGTTTCCTCCTTTAGATGATTCCAGAGAAATATCGTGCAAAGCTCCCTTTAATGGTCAGCAAAAACCAGAGAATAATCAAAATACTTTTCCAATCTGGTCAACGAAACTGCCACTACGTAATGGGAATTCTGTTGCATATACTAACTATTACACTACAGTCCGTCATAGCCATCCACAGCCACTTTATTTGAACAGACCATTGTCTGCCCTTCAGGGTCAGTCGAACTCGAAGAGAAATGTTAACACCAATCCTCAACAGTCTTCATCTCCAGTTGAAACCCCAACTATTGCGGCTTGTCTTACAGCGTCTGCTGGACCAGATTCACCATACATGGCAGCACTACGAGCTGGTTGTGCTGCCAGAGGTTATGCTGTTGGTTGGATTGGAAATCCACGTGCTTCGATCGCTTATCCAGGTTTAGGTCTTTTGTCAATTCCTCGTCCATCAAGATTAGCTGGGTCTGCATTCCTTTCTCATACCTTACCTGACTTGTCATTTTTAACCCAAGCTGGAGTTGAAGAGGATCGTAAGGGTACACCAACTATGTCTAAGCGTCGAGCATCTTGTCTGTCAAATACTCAGACGAAGAAAAACTGCACTTGTACAAAATGTGGCTGTCGATCGATTTCAGCCGGTCGTGTTTCTTCCAAAAATACATGTCCAGATAGGTCATCGAAATCACTAGCAACTAAAGGTGTATCTGGGACAGCAAAGAATCCACCTGATCATAATAATACATCTTCATCAGATACGAATGCGCCTGATGTTGTACCTTCTTCAATTGGACAAAATTCAAGTAATAGAAGTAATCCTTCAGAAATACAGAAAGAAGTCCCAAATCAAGTGAGTTTCGTTGTTTAGTGTAGCTTCTTTTGCATGCACTTTTATTTTAGAGTTATACATTCATATTATATTGAAATCTCGCTTACAATAATATTTTCAAGTGACATTTTATTAATTAGCTTTCTAAAATTGCCTGCGGAGTTCACTGAATCGATAACTTCTCGTTTACATATTTTATTCACCATTTGATTATGTAAACTAGATTTTTAGACTTAGTGGCTATCAGTGGAGTTCAGGATGTGGGTTTTGTCCCATGTAGGACCCACTAACAGGATAAACAGGCACTTCAGTAAGTGATGCTGTTCCAACTTAAAGTCATACCCAGCATCCATAGGTGTAAACGTTGAAGTGTTATCCAGTAGGCCTACTTAATCACTAGAGCCAACTTTTTTTGCAACAGACGTATTAGGTATTACTTTTTGAAATTAATTTAAATTTCCAGTTGGTTGCTTTTATTAGACGACACACCCTTCCTGGATTCCACTGTTAGCCTCCATCAACCGAATAGCATCACGGTAACCTCGAAGCATCATTGACGCGTTCATTTTAGGGGCCTGCTTGTCACCAGAGACCAAGCCTTTTGGTCCAGTATAATCAATCAACAGAGAATTCAAAGTAGTTTCAACGATGGTTTCTAGCTTACCACAGATAGTCATCCAAATAAATGTTTAGTCACTGGGATAAGAAATATAGATAAGAATCACAATTTCTCCCTATCTAATTAAAAACGTGACATTCACCTGCAGTAAGTTTTCCATTGACTAGGTTTTTTATGTGCTTTATTTATGACTGTTGTCATGTTTACTGTGTTATTTTCTAATTGCATTGTGCTGTGTTGTTCACGTCATATGTGGAAATGTGGCATATGGAGCTACTAATTTAACTTTTTAGTAGTGAGCCATGAATTTGGACGTCATTCTACTTAATCTGGTTTGGTCGTCGATTGCATAACAGCCATCTTTGTGCATATACATGCGTCTCTGTAACAATTTAGAATAAAGTTCTGTGTATCAAATACTCGAATATTCGTTAATCAGAGTGTGAAAACATGGGTTGGACAGTTGGTAATATTGATTGTTACATCCTACTTGTTATGACGTACCTCTAGATGTCTGTGTTTATTTGCATATCTTTTAGTTTGACATACCATCATAGTCTAACTCAGTGAATAAGTCGGTATATAAGCAATAGGACAGTTTATTTGTGTGTGTGTGTGTGACAAGCTTGAATTTCAAGTGTAATTAGTTATTGGGGGTTGTTATTATTATCATTAAACCGCAAATTTGGTACATTATATAATTATCAAAGGATGTGCCACACAAAATCTCATAGTTTGTGTGAGGACCAGAATATTGCTGGGACGCCCAAACCGAAGCATGTGGTTGTCTCAAGGAGCTGCCCTCCGAGCCTTTGACTCACCATAGGTTTGGAATCAGGGTTTTCCATCTCGCTTAGGTAAACCTGAATGTCTACCAATTCGGTTGTAGGGACCAGATTTCCTCATTCGACGTTCCACTTTGGTGAGGAACATCCTGGCCTTGCGAAGGCATAAAATAGGACTTAACTGGCAGAGGCTATGATTGTGTGGACATATGAGAGCATTTCGAGAGGAAGGCGAAAGTCTTCCTACTTTCGGCGGTACCAGGTCGTTTTTGGGGGCCTTGGTGATGATGAAAGCCTCTGATTATTCTACAGCTCATCAGGTGAAGTATTATACTGCATGTAGTACATATACTCACATACGCAACAGAACTGTAGTATACTGCAAACTTGTGTGATATCTAGAACGAAGCTGTGTTGTAAATTGATGATATTTATCAGAGTTTCATCTTTATTTTAATGTTCTTGTAGTTACAATGTCCTGACGCTGTTGAGCGATCATCATCTGAACCTGATTTAAGTGGTGCAGCTCCTAGTAAAAATAGTCAACTAATGTATGGATCTGTGGATAGTAGTTCCTATTGGGCTTGCTCTACTTCACAATCTCAGAAAAATCAAATTAATTCCGATAAAAACCGTGGGGAGACTACAGTGGCGTCAGGGAATGATGGCTTCAGTTTAAATTCACGACCGAAGAAAAGTGTTAGTTTCAACGGTAATATTCGTTTGTTACAGTTGAATTCAAAAGATTCTTACAATCACTACAGCGATTCATCGGCACAACCATCACCTGAACCTAAAGGTTAGTTATGCACTTCAGTTATAAATCACCTGACTTCTTAGTTTGTTTATTTACTATAATCGCTTAATTATGAGTTACTAGCACACTGTTATATTCCTTCTTGTCGAATTCCATTCATATGTTTGCATATGGCCTTTAACAAGGCTCATTATTTCTAATTCAAAGAGTAAAGAGAAAGTTAGTATCTGATGGTGTATCTCGTTTCCCTAAATGAGCTCCTACCAGACTCACCCTTGGCAGACTAGACCTTAATGAAACCTCTAGGTCAATATTCGTACAATGAATCAAGTCACCCCAAACCGGTGTCCCCAGATGGCTTTATATGTTGATAAACCATTTTCGCCTTGTGCAAGCATATACCGTCGGGTCTCAGTAATTGTGGAGTGATTAGATGTAATAATTTGGGTGGATACAGTGGTCATCGAACTCATAGAGTCGCCACACATCCTTAATATAAAGGGGACGGGTTTCACGGACTTGGAGGAAAACTGATTTTAAAACTGGACTGTCAGCAACCAAAGTAAGGTGTTTACGGCGCAATAAATGATCCAGGTTGGGGTACACCGCTGTGAGCTCTAGAGTTAAGAATTTCCTTCGTCACGTCTCAGTCATAGCTCAGGCAACCACTTAGGCGTATCAACCTTTTACTGTCTGTCTGTTTTCGACATAGAACTTTGCACAAATGTGCGGAAGTTCAAGTCGCCACACTCCGTGTAGCACGCGAAGCAAGCAAGAGAAGAAAGTACAAGAAAAGCATAATAGAGACACTAAACAGAGATGTGAGACAAAGGAGGAGTAATAACGAAGAACAAAACAGTTTCATTGGAAATCATAAGTCACAAGGAGTGGATGCATCTGCGCCACTGAGAACGATTTTGAGCCATGTCACCAATTGTTTCCAACCATAGATTTTTACCGTCCCGAGGACCCCAGCCTGGAAGTCTACACCTTCCTACGTGGTTTAGACCAACTGTTGTGGATTTCATTGACTGGTGCCAAGTTTTTGTTTGACCGCCGCTAGCTTTTTTCCAGCCTGACCCTATATCCGCTAAAATTGCTCGTCGAGGGAGGCGATGGCTTGGCATACGTAACACATGTCCTAACTATCTCAGTCTTTGTAACTTCACGACTTCTTCGATTGATTTCCCCTGCTTACCTAGAACTCGACCGATGCCTAACCTCAATATTGCTCACCTTATTATGCCAATTCACACGGGAAATAGAGCGCAGGCACCTATGATCAAAGACAGCTAGTCTTTTCACGTCTCCCACTCTCAGTGGCCAGGTCTCACAACCATATAGGAGGACGGAGCGGACTGATGAGCAGTACACCCACCCTGTGGTCGATAGTCGAACATCTCGTCTACGCCAGAGTCGGCGTAAACTGGCAAATGCGAAACGATCCCCCTGTATTCGTGCTGAGATTTCGTCAGAGATCAGCCCGTTGGGGCTGATGGTACTTCCCAAATAAGTGAAGCGGTCAACGTGCTCTACCACTTCACTTCCTATTTTTAAACTAGGCGTCGATGTAGTCCAGTCCTGTATCATCATCTTGCATTTGGCGGGAGCGAATCGCATGCCAAACATTCGTAGATTGCGGCTCAAGGTGTTTGGAAGACTCTGCATTTCTGCAACCTTATACTGCTTCCAGCGGTTCAGGTGTGAGAATAAGTTTTGTGTGTGGTGGGGGGGTGGTAAGGTACTTTCTACCTTACTGACTGGCTTATAAGCAGTTCAAGTCGCCATAATTTGAGAGAAGCCCACAAATAAAAATGGACGTATACAGACAGCAGAGAGACTAATTAGATGCAGGTTAATTTATAATTTCAAGTACTGAATGATAATAAAGAGCGAAAGTGTCCGCACCATGATGAGTAATTTTGAGTCACGTTATCAACCATTAATTCTCGGCATCTCAAAAACTCCAGACATTTTACACCTCTACACTTAGCGCGAACTGACAATCAGAGGCCTTGTGGGTCGGGGCCGTTTATCTATTATTTTTATAACTTAGCCCTTTTTTTGCTAATAATGCTTGTCGGCAATAGCTCGACATGCCTAATACATTCCATTTCAATCAATGGAACGTTTTTACCTACCTGTCTGACCATACCGCACCATCAAAGGTAAACACAGATACTTGTGGTCAAAACCCGCTAACCTTCTACCTTCAGCAGCGATATTGCACGGCTATACAGTAGGTTTCAGTGGACTGCTGCACATTACAAAAGTTATTTGGCTGTTTTAAATGTGTGTAGTGTGATGATATATTTGTAGTTTGTAGTTTGTTTACTCCTTTGTTCATTCTGACCAACGATTCTTCTATTTTTATCCTATGATCATTATATATTATTATCTTTCATGTGTTACATATATTTCGACAGTAATTCCACGAAATTGGGGTTTATATGGACAAGAACAACCACTGGCTGAATTCAATCCCCGATGTAGCCCAAGTTTAGAAAGTGAAAAAAATGGAAAATTAATTCGTCATTCTGATGTTGATGTCAGATATCATGGTTAGTTTATTTTGTCTGTTAATATAAGTAGCTTTTATTCTTTATTATTGATTAAGGGTGGAATGAAAACTTAAATGTTTTCTAAATTGCACCAACAACCTCCGGATATACAATTGGTGGGTGGTGGCTAGCAGTGGAATCCAGGATGTGCATTTGGTCCTATTTGGGACTCGTCATCTGGATGTACCTGCATTTCTCAGTGAGTGATGATGTTCCTACTGAGGCTCGAACCCAGTGCTCATAGTTTCAAACGCCAAAGCGTTATCCCTTAGACCACTTGGGCCACGAGAGCCACCTCTTGTGCAACGGGTCATATTAATTATTGAATTGAATTTTTGACTTTCCCGTCGATTGAAGAAGCCGACATGTCAACCTGAGACCGAGCACTTCGGTCCAATCAATCGACGGCAAAATCAAAAATTCAATTCAATAACCTCTGGATAGTTGGTTTATTACTTACAATGGAGTCATGAGACCCGATAGCTAAATAATCCTGATTTCCTTACAGCTACATATAATCACTATCCATCTTAGGTTGCCTCACCAACCAATTTTTTGTTTTCTTCCTTGTTAAGTTGGTTAATGACATAGGAGATTGGCATGATAGTTATGCAAAACAGATTTGTTAAGTTGTAAGCCTTTCCCTGCTTTCTATTAATTTACATACTGCACATTGCTTAGCTTTCGATAAGTTTATGCACATCCTGTTGAGGTATCCAGTTTGGGAGAGTATCTCCGAGTTGAGGGATGACAAATCCTTGCTTAACACTTCGATAGCACGATTACAATTTATTTCCCTTAGAATAGAAACTAGTTTTTATGCTCTGTTAGATTATGGGATCATCAATGCAGGGAATATCACTAAATATATAATGGTGTGACAGTTTCATTTTGGTTACCTGATTACCTATTTTAATGACTCATTAAATAGAGAAAATCGTTGCACTCTAGCATGCCTATATCTGTAGATGTTTGTCAAGTGACATTTTCTTGATGCATATATGTAAACCTTAATGGATTTTTAACTTTCATATTTTGTTATACTAAAGCTTTTATATGATCTTAAAATTATGTTTCCTTCTTATTTGCTGATGCTTGCTTGTCTGCATTCTCTCTCCTCGCTCTCTCCCGTCCCGCCCCACCCCATCCCACCCGTACCTGCCCCTATATTAGATATCGCATCCTGTCTCATATATATACGAATCAAAACTAATCTTTCTTTCTGCCCTCTATAGTATAATTGAACTATTTTTCTTTGTTTATTATGACTTCATTTTGTAATTTATTACTGTTTATAATAAACAGTCATCATTTTACTTATCTCCTAGATCATATATATAATAATATCTAATCTAGAGTCGCCTGTCTTTTGCAAAATCTGCAATTTTGAAATGTCAAAAAAAGACATGAGGTGTTAGTTACTTTCTTTCAAAATAAAAAGCGACTACTATAGATTGTTTACCTGACTTTTGCATTCTTCAACATATTTATATGCTTTTCGCATTCATCGCTTTCTTGTGCTTTCAATGTCTCTAAAAGGCAATCGAATTCAGGCCGTAGTAAGTCCATTCATAAACTATTTAAATCGGGATATAGTTAAGAATCTACATACCATACAGTTGTAAGTTAGTTGACGATGGTGGCAGTATTAGTTAAGAATAGAATTATAGAATTTTACTGCAGCTTACTTTAGAAACCATAAAGAGCATTAAGACTGTAAGCACAACATTCTCTCTGGCTAAAATGATTTTCTAATGCTCACTAGCGACTGGCCCTATTCAAGCAGTTAACCTGGGGTTCTAGTGGGAAGCCGTGACCAGTAGGGTACAGCAGGTTGAAGATGAGGCAGTAACTCATCGAAGAAGACATTGCGAAATGGTCGCGCTATGTTGTGAATTCGCAGAAGTTGGAATTCATGGACCACTAGATCAGATCCTAGTTGCTTAATGGTCTACGAGGTCGCCTTCTAACCAGAAGGTCCCGGGTTAGAGAACCTCAGTGGGTGCGTACTGCTGGAGAGTCCTAAACTAGGACGGAGGAAACAGATGTCCAGTACTCCCTAAAGGTTTTCCAGTGGTTCTTTAACTGATGTCAGCTCATGATGAAATCCTCCATGCAATCAAACAAAACCAATACTTAAAATGATTTTCTCCAGTTATATCGAAGTGACTTAAGCGTTTTATTGCTGTCCCAGTTCAATTAAAATCAAGCTAAATCATCAATGTGTCTAGATTGATTTGGTCTATGAAGTTTAGTCATTCAGATACCTAGATACCTTTGATACTTTGAGGTTATTTGTGATATACAAGGTTGAATAAAGCTATCTACAAAACTAATAGCCTTCGTCTTCCACTAAGGTTTTTGAACTTATCATAATAATTGTGTTCTTATTGACTTTACATCTACTTGTGGTAATGCGTTTTAGCTGGAGAAGTTTTTCACACTTGATTCCATTATCACGTTTCCACTAGATATAACTATTTTATTAATAAATAATAGCTGTATTCTAAAAAGTGCTTTCAGACACAATATAGAATTTTAAGCAAGTCGCATTACAAAGTATTTGCCTCTTGCGTAGAAACTTCAAATAGTATAATAACCGATAATACATCATCTGAAGCAATACTGTTCTATTCAAAGTATGCTGCAGTGGTTCGTCCCTCCATTTCCTTAGAAAAAACTCCCCATCGGTGGGTAGGAACTTATTTGAAATTGTGCCCAAGTATAAATTGTGACTTATTGTAGTAATGAGACGATTAAAACAATTTTGAAACGGAGTTAAAACAATGCATGTTGATAGATAAGAAATTTAGGTAGCGTGGTGATTTAAACAAACCGCTTCAGAGGTAATATTATTAGGATTTTTGTTACGGTTAAATCGTGATTGTACACACAGTCGGCGTAGGCTTTTCTATATATTTTGAGGTCAATACTACCACTTTTCTATTGTCTCAGTTAAGATCTCTCCAGTGTAATTACCGTAACTGAAATATTCATAACATCCACTGTCTTCAAAGTAATATATTATGTCATTGAAATGAAAACAACTGGAAGCTATTCATTGTCTTAAAAGAAACTGAAAATGTCTGATTTTATGACCTGATTGTAGAATATTATTATTCATGTTTAATTATGTCTGAAAGGCTGTACACTGTCTACACTTTATGTATGCATATTTGTGTGTATTATAAAGTCGCCTAAAGTATATCTCTGTTAATTGTTTGTTCTCTCATTTTATTTTCTTCGTACAGACATTTTGAGAGTAGTTTTTCAAAATGCTGTTTAATTAAGATCTTTAGGTTGTGTATAAGCTATGTAAAGCTTCGGCTTTCATTTAACTAGTTGGAAGGTATGAAATTTGTTTGAATCAACGTCGACTGACGAAGTGGTAAATAATTTGATGGTTATAGTTTACCTTTGGGTTCCAAGTGGAAGATAGGACTTCAACAGCATATCTCCACTTCACTCTGTCTTTTGCATCCCTATTTAGCTGGCTCCAGTATTGCCCATAGGCATTCATCTCCTCTTCACTACATTACCTCCATATCACTGTCGAGGTGACACTTAGTTAGTGGTTACCCATTCGGGTTCCACTCGACAACCTGCCTAGTGCACTATGTCAATCACTGGTATCCCCAGGGTATGTTCGATTCATCTCCATTCTATTCGGCATATTTGTGGGGCGATAAGATGTTGGTCGGTTCGCCGCACTGCCAGAGTTCCTTATTAATAATCCTTTGTGAACATCTCATTTTCAGCATTCAACCAGCGAGGGCAGCTGTGTTGATAAAAGTCTGCAGCTTTTTGGAAGTGCTTTTGGTAATGCGCATGCGAAGTCTCTGAACCATATTGCAGCACTGACTTAACATTGATGTTAAATATCCGAATCCTGTTCCCTATGCTTAGTGCAGTAGATTTCCACGCTGATTTTGGATCAATGAAGGTATGATATTCTTCATCTGTGCTACATGAAACACTGTTGCCTAGATAAGTGAAAGAGGTGTCTTCCTTCAATTTTTTCCTTTTGTGCTTGATGTTGTTGGTTAGGCATCTTTATCACCTCTATCTTCCTGTCTTCACTGCTTCCTCTGCCAACGTATTAGTTTTCACTGGTAGATCTTCAGGATTGTGCGACATTAGATATTAATCGTCCACGAAGTCTAGATCTTCTAGAGTCTTCTTGTCGGTCCAGAGTATTCCTGACAGCTTCCCGCAGTCTAACGCATAATCCAATCCACCATAATTAGGAATATCATCGGTAATCATAAGCAGTCCTCTGTTACTCCTCCTGTCTTCACACCAAAAGGTTCACTATGTTTTCCTTTCTGAATCACTTGACATTTGACATCATCATATAGCTCTTGGATGAAGTTGATAAATGTTTGGAGTGTTCAATGGTAAATAATTCTCGCTTTTTTATCGAGTGTTGTTGGATATTCAGTAATATTAAATTCTATACGATTGTTGTTATTCCCATTATAAATGTGAATGAAAATGGGTATAATGGAGGTGAACTCTGTTGGTCTATTCACTTTATTTATGATCCTTACTCTCTCTCTTCATTTAGCAATGGTTAATGATGTTATTAAAGCAGTACAAGAAACAGTTGCCTACTATTGTAATCCAAATTTGGGGAGTAAAACTAATGGACAAATGAATGGAGATAATTGTTCACAAGATGTACTACCGTATTCAAAAATTGAAGCGATTGGCTCTTCAGGACGTCAACCACTCCTTGCAGTTGTCCCACCCTTAACTATTCTACTTTGTGATGGATTACTACCACCTGCAAAACCCATATTCACCTCACGACCAAGAACACGTTTATGGCAGTTGGTAGAAGAGAGTTGTAGACCAGGTGAGTATTTTTGTTTTTGAATAATATTGAAAACAAACTCTGAACAATTTTGTATTTGTATTAGTTTATTCGTTCGAAAGTTTACACAGTTAGACGGTGTTTATTTAACAAACTATTGTCACATAGTCTGTTTAAATTGCACATAATAAGTTGACGATCAGTATGATTTGCGTTGTCAAAATTGGCGGAGTTATACCTGTACTTGTTCTTACACGTGTACCATTAAAAACACTCGAAAAGTTCTTCTATTTAAAAAGTTTGAGTACCAATGAACGTTTGCTGAAACAAATTTTAGTGCACTACGTGTTACGCATACCGAGCTATTGCCTTCCTCGACGAGTGATGTTAGCCGAAATAGAATGAGATTGGAAAAGAGTTAAAGGTGACCAAACCAAAACCAAGCATCAGTCCATGAAGTCTTTGACAGTTGGCTTGAATCAAGAACGCGGGTATAGACTGCCTAGGTATCGGGTATATGATATTCATTATAATAAAGGTTTTTGTGTTTCCCAGAGAATGAAAAACAAAACGATATTGTTTTTACTGACGTTTCGCTATTTAATGCTAATAGCTTTATCAAAGTATTATTCAATAATAATAATAATCAATAATACTTTGATAAAGCTATTAGCATTAAATAGCGAAACGTCAGTAAAAACAATATCGTTTTGTTTTTCATTCGTTGGGAAATACAAAAACCTTTATTGTAATGAATAGACTTCCTGGTTTGAATCTTCAGAATGCTAATAAACAACGGCTGGAGACTTTCGGTAATATGGTTCAAAATCGTTCTCAATGGCACTTATGCATTCACCCTGTGTGGTCTCCTATATCCGCTAAACCGTCATTTTTGCACCATTTTACCACTCCTTTTCCCTCATTTACTGCTTTTTATGGTTCTTTTAAGCCTTCTTTCCTCTGTCTTTTGTCTGCCGTCGTGTTGTATATAGAGTGTAGCAACTTAAACTGCTTCACTTGTTTGCAAAGTTCTACGCTGAAACTCAGTCAGTCAGCTAGTCAGTAATTTATCGGAAGTTTGATCAGTAGAAGGTTGTTAGTTGAAGTTGATTTCTTCTTTGAGTATCTAAGACAGAAAGCATTAATTTTGTGTCGTGTTAATTCCTGGGAGAAGACTTTTTGAGTTTAGCATCATATGAATTGTGTAGAGGTGTAGTTTTGTTGAGTTTCGTTCTCAGGGGAGAACACTTCATTAAACTAAGTCAAGATGCACAACTTTCGAAGCGCTAATGTCTCCTAATTTCTCTTCCAGAGAGTGATCGGCAGCATATCTGAGCTGTTGCTCGTTAAAGAAAAGTATTTTACTTCTACTACACATGTATTTACCAGCAGTATGTCTATACACTCAAACCGGAGGTGTTTAAATATGGGGGTGACATACTAGTTTGTAGATTAACTGAGGTACTAGGCGAAGTCTGGGAATCAGAGACAGTTCCATCAGACTGGGGTAAGTCACTTATTATACCGATATTCAAGAAGGGAAACAAGTCCTCATGTGATAATCATAGGGGGATCAGCCTAACGAACATAGTCTCTAAAATCCTAGGCTCAGTAATCATGCACAGACTAAGCAGAACTCGGGAGGAACAGACGAGGGAAAATCAAGCAGGCTTTAGACCAGGTAGAGGGTGCATAGATCATATCTTCACTCTTCGACAGATTCTAGAACATAGACACACTTTTCGGCGTCCAACAATTGTCATATTTCTTGACTTGAAGGCGGCCTTCGACTCCGTGGATCGAAAGGTACTATGGCAATGTCTGACTGTGAAGGGAGTGCCAAGAAAGTACATTGCACTAATCAAGGCACTCTATTCAAACTCATGTAGTCGTGTAAGGGCTTATGGGGAATTGTCATCTGAATTGGTAACAACCAGTGGTGTCCGACAGGGATGTCCACTTTCCCCATTTCTGTTTAACTTCATCATAGATATGCTGATGGAAGTATCCTTAACTGAACGTAATGACTTAGGAATCGACTTGTTACCAGGGAATAGTCTTATGGACTTAGAATATGCAGATGACATAGTCCTGTTAGGGGAGGATGCTGACAAAATGCAGAGTCTTCTGAACACCTTGAGCAGCAATCTTCGTATGTTTGGCATGCGATTCGCCCCTACAAAATGTAAGATGCTGCTACAGGACTGGACCACGTCAACCCCTAACTTAGTGATAGGGAGTGAAGTGATAGAACATGTTGACCACTTCACCTATTTGGGAAGTTGTATCAGCACCAACGGACTGATTGGCGACGAAATCTCAGCAAGGATCCAAAAAGCTCGAGCTGCTTTCGCTGACTTACACCATCTCTGGCGTAGGCGTGACATCCGGTTATCAACCAAGGGACGTGTGTACTGCTCAGCAGTTCGCTCCGTCCTTCTCTATGGCTCTGAAACATGGCCAATACGCGTTGAAGACATGAAAAGGTTGACCGCTTTCGATCATAGATGTCTGCGATCCCTGTCTCACGTTAGGTAGTTCAGCAAGGTAAGTAATGTTGACGTTAGGCGTAGAGTATTGGGCAAAGAGGGAAAATCAATCGACGAGGCTATAAAGTTACATAGATTGAGATGGCTAGGTTACGTGCTGCGCATGCCTAACCATCGCCTCCCCCGACGGGCATTACTAGCTGATATAGGTGCAGGTTGGAAAAGAGTAAGTGGTGGCCAAACAAAAACATGGCATCAATCCATGAAATCCTTGACAGTTAAACTGAGTCAGGTAGGGAGATGCAGACTCCCGGGTTGGGGCCCTCGGGACTCTAGGAATCAATGGCTGGAGACAATAGGTGACATGGCTCAAAATCGTTGTCAATGGCCAGCGCAGATGTATTCAGTCTCTGTAATCTTTCATATTCCTTTCTACCATTACCCATTCTGTTTCACTCTTATACTTGTCAAACTCTATTGATTCTCTTCACTCATCTTCTTGTCTACCTTTGTGCGCTATTTGGAACGTGGCAACTCGAACTGTTGCACTTCGGTGCCAAGTTCTATGTTGAATCCAGACAGACAGAGACACTCAAACCACTACCATATTGTAAGCAAATTGCGCCATGGTGTTGACTACTTTCAGTTTAACTGGTATTCAAAATATCCATTTTAGACAAGACAGTGACCAGAAAAGTACCAGCTTGATTAATATAGTATCTAAAATCCCGACATTCAAAGTCATATGTGCTTGCCTTATGAAGAGTGCACTGGAGGAAATTAGGCAGGTCTAAGATCTCTGGTTGATAGCTCATTGATCCAATCTTCACCTTTTGATAGGTTCTGCTAACAGAAATGTTTTCCAGCGCCCAGCAGTTACCTTATTTCTTTGTGTCCATCATGATGTTTCAAGAGTTAACCTAAACTAGTGCACTCCTGTGCTGCTGATTTAAATATTGATATATCAGCCGACCATGGTAATGTGTTTCAGGAATAAAGACTTTGAGAAAGACCATTACCACTATTTCCTATGAAAATATCGATGAAAGAAATATGGTAATACAGTAGGTATAATACATTCCCTTTTACGGTCCAAAGAGATGTGACTCCATTGGCTTAAGAACCTAGTTTTCAGCCAACAGGTCATGGGTTCAAGCCTCTCATCCACCTGGACAACTGGGCAATATCATCAGCCTGGCCTGTAATTGTGTTCAAACAGACACAGCTGTTTAAAATAAGTGACATGAAAATGTCACAGATGTTCGAATGTTGGTTTCTTCGTTCACTACCTTTCTTTAGATGGAAAAACACATGGTGGAGAATAATGTTCAGATTGAACTTAGCGTTAATTAACAAGGATATATTAGTTTACTGGGTGGAAAATATTCACCAGTCTAGATGTCGAACTGTTGTCTTCCCCAATGAGGAGTATGCTTTAGTTGGAAGAAGCTTAACAGTGGCCGATGCATGGAGTCTGGTGGCTGTCAATTTGATTAGAACTGTGTAGACTGTTTATCTGATTTCCTTGGGATACTCTGGTTGAATACACCGGTTTATAGGGCTAAGAATTGCTTACATTTTCAAATTTCTAATTATTCACTTATATTCGTTTATGTATTCCTTCTGTCACAAAGACACTCACATGTTTGTCTTGTATGAAGTCATTCAGTATCTTTTCTGTCACATTTTCAGTATACACTAATTTGAAATGTGTAGTAACTTGAACTGATATATGTTTGTGTAAAGCTCTGTCAGTGATTACACGTCGCTGAAAACAAAGTTAGTAGTATATTGGAAATCATTTACTAGTCAACAGTTATAAGTTTTTCCTCCTGCTATTGCCAGTTATTCAACCATCTCTCTGTGTATGTGGGTGTCAATCATTAGCATCATGAATTTGTACGAAATCATTGATTAGTGAGACCATCGTAAAACTCTCTTTTTCTCGTAGATGTTGTAGGTAATAAATTCGAAGCGCGTTACTTAGATTTATTTATTTCTAGTTATTTATTTATTTATTCACATGTTACTGCTTTTAATTCACTCTTCCATTAATATTCATTATGTTAACCAGGCCATTTAGCCATAAATTTAAATAGTTGTGCATACATATATATGTATGTGTGTATTAGTTCGTTGACTAATATCACTATCATTTGAAAAATGTGTGCGTGCGTGCGCGCGCGTTTGTGTGTTCCTGCGTGCGCACATGTATTCATCTCCTGGTTTTACCTCATTTTCTTCTCTATCGGAAGACTAAATAGTTTTGTGTCAATGACCTAGACCTTTAAATGAATGAATAAATAAGATATGCATATTAACTAAAATGACGTACAGTTAGTTAATGTGAATAGTGGTAGTAGTAGCAGCAGGAGTAGATACCTCTGTTGACGAATCGATTTTACTGTCATCAGGATATTCTACACTGTTGCTTATAATAAGTTCTACATGGTTATTATATATCTCAGTTGGTACTGTAAATAAGAAACTCTATCCTGAATGTAGATTTTGAAGGCTGAAGATCACTGCACAGCTAATTTCACTATAGTTTAGGACTTTTCATCATTACCCACCTACTACGAGCCCATCAGGGATCGAACCTTAGGACCTTGAAGTTACGAGACTAAGTTCGTTGTTTATTCAGCCACTTGGTTGGCGGAATTCAATGACCCATGAATTCTAATATCTATTAATTGGTGAATGATATCCACCACACCCTGACATAGTTGGTCCCACTGGTCATAACTTCCCACTACATAGCTCTACTGATGAAGAGTCTCTGACTGGGACGAAACAGTTGTCCATTGCTCTCTGGTTTCCAATGTTCTGTCTAACTGATGTTATTTCGTGACGAAATCTACATTCAAATCCTTAGATCTAAATTATATTATGTTTATACAGTTAGTTGGGAAGATGTGTGGATCATCGGATTTGGCGTTCGACTCTTTAGATTCACACCAGGCTTCGATCTGGACAATTAGGTAGGATAACAGGCGCTCATGTCTTGAATCTATTGTGTAGCACATTATGCAGGAAATCTTTTACAGTTATTATAACAGTTAGTGTTATACTTCATTTTATGTCACTATGCTTATTTTGGTTTGATTTTCTTATTTTTAGGTGCATTGCCTACCGGTGTAGCTTATCATGTGTTAAATGATGCTATTAGTCAGGTCAAAGCATTGACTAATATTACTTTGGAGAAAACAAAGTTCAGAGCATTTATATGCGCCTGTTTAAAGTAAGTGTCATGGTCATGTATTACTCGTGTGAAGTCCTCATAATATATGACTACTTTGCAACATACCGGCTAATGGTTTGGGGGATATTAATTTTTAGGTACATACCGCCTCAATGGTTCAGTGGTACAAAACTCGTCAAGCAAGCACACGTCATGTGCATGGGGGTTCGATCCCCGTCCGGGACATTACTAAACCTCACTTAGCAAGTAGTAAGCCTGATAAAGAGGGGAGGTTGGGCGTAAGCCTAACAACCACATCCTGTAAGCAAGAACACCACTGCTACTGAAACTTTAGAGCTCAAGCCTGAAGCCGTTTGTCCCGCTCGGAACGTTAAGGAATAATAGTAATTAATAAATATAAGTACTGAACGTTTAAAGCCAGCATTAGTATTCTAAGTATTGAGCGCTGAAGCTTCTTTTATATACATCACTTTGTGCTGTACATTTCCTGTTGCATTAGTTAGCTGTTTTGCCTTATTACGTAAACTTTGAAGCTCATATACTAGATTGAATGTATGGATTTCCTCAACGTGATGGCCGGACTTGCATATATTTAAACGACTCAACGAGAACACTCATGTTCCTGAAGATCCTACGATGACAGAAATGTCGTTTGGATGGTGTTTGGACTAAAAGCATTTACTTTCATAGTGTAAGTTGTTAACACTGTTCTGTGGGGTCTGTAGGTGAAGTGGTACTACTGCTAAATAGGTATGTAACAGCAGTAAGCTGTTGCCCTTCACTGATCAGGATGTCAGTTATTCTACAAAAAATCAGTCCTGAGAACTGTATATCCCTTTTTTTCTTCGTGGTGGTCCGTACCCGTCAGTAATATATTAATACGGATACAACTTCCAAATCCGCTTGAAGCAGGCCGTATTTGGCTAGACTCAGTTTAAAACAGAAGTCGAAGATTCATTGAAAACATCCATTGCAGTGTGATTTCCTCATATGAGAAAGTCATCAATCCATTGATAAAAGAAACTCTTATATTATTATAATGTCCTTTAACTCCTAGGGGAACATAGGGCTTCAGCTGCGCGTCTCCATTGCCTTCGGTTTTCTGCCAACTTTTTCACCTCGCTCCAAGTCTGCCCACACGCTTTCATCTCCCTTCACATGACCTCCTCCAAGTCACCCCACCCTCGCACTGAAGACCAACTCGCCGCTTCCCTTTCGGGTTCCACTCGAGCAACGGCTTGTCTAGCGATGTCACTCACTTGATGGTTTCCTCAGAGTATGGCCAGCCAATCTACCTCCATTTCTTCCTGTCTATTTCTTCTGGTCAATTTAAATTATGCAGCATACATACATGTGCAAATGAGAAACCCTTGTATTAACACTCCTACTGTTCATTATGACTAGTTTATTTCTGATTGGATCATTCATCTACAGATACTGTTCTCAGTTCCATGTATATGCAAACTGAGATCTCTAGTACACAGTCTGAACATATGAATACTTTTTTTAAACTTTTACTATAAATGTAACGATATTTAATTTGCATTGGATTTTCTTTCTCTCTTTAGTGCAAAGGCTTTACCAATGTGGTTGAATGCACTTGTCGCCAATGATACATTACTTCGAAGATTCTACTGTGAAGATGCATTCATTCGTCAATGTCGTTCTGGTCAACGTGAATTACACGCTGATCTAATGACACATTTAGAACAATTGTTAGCATTTCCTTTCAATTTAGATTTATCAATTGAAGTACGTAAACCATTAGTTGATCCACATGTAACAACAACAACAGCAACAACAACAACAAACAATAATATGATCAAACCATCTGTTCCACCTACACAAATACCGACAAATAATAAACAGCCTCAATCGCATGGAGGTGAATCGGCACCACCGTCAAATAATAAAGTAAGATTGGTAGTATTTGTGTTTAGGTTAATTTGTATTTTCCGTTGATTGATTATCTTGGACACAGAAAACCTCCTTCTTTGTTGACATGTTGGCGCCTATTACTGACACTTCAACGATATCTTAAGATTTGTGTGAATCTATTTCGGTTCTTATTGTCTATTAGGTAATTCTTTGGTGTTTGAAATTATGGGTGCAGGTTTGGAGTCTCACTGGGAATGCATGCACGTCCAGTTGACGAGTCCCAAATCGGACGAAACACCCAACTTAGTTCCCTCTGCTTGTCACCATTGACTGAAATAAGATTGCAGTATTGCTATTGGATGGTTAGAAGCCATTGGCAAAAAGCTCTGAACCTGAGTTTCGTGCTTGTCGGCACTCGTCAGCAAAGCCTATCTGCTTTCTCGAAGAGACTCATGTACCCTCTTAGATTTGAACGCGTGTCATCCAGTGCAGCAGTCAGAAACGTTACCACTGAGCTCTTCGGACCCCCGATTGCCCTCGTGTAGGACTGTAATGAATACTTTGACTGGTCACTAGGTATTAACGAATGACATTTGTCTAGTTTCTTGTTCGATGCAGATTGAATTCTGCCAATTCAAGTTGCTGATGAGTGCCGACAAGCATAAAGCCTAGGTCGAGTTACCTAGTATAATGACCACATTGTAAACCTGACCGATATAATTCAGTTTGCATCAAACCAAGGACTAGACGCATAATATTGGTCGCCATCAAGTGTCCAATCAGAGTAAGATAGTAGTTTATTTGTGTATTCTGTACTCATAGTTAAGCTATGCATTCTGTTTGCTTGAGGTTTTTAAAATTTGTATTTTCGATCCACAATTTGCTTGCTATAACGCATAAATGAGTGTTTCTATGTATCTGGCATGTGAAGAATTAGTGATCAAATTTCTGATTTGAAACCTCATAGAAACCTAATTATTAGAATTGCCTCACTAGCCAAGTTTTCATTGCAAATTCAGTCGTCATTCTATTATATTAATATATGGCCCAGCTAAGATTGTTGCAGATAACATCAATAACATTACACTTTAAGTCAACATTCTCATCTAGTTAGCTTTTTGATTGTTACCGTACAGGCGGTGATGTAAAATGTTGCGTAATCCGACTTGCCTCTTAGTGTTTAATATCGTGTTTGAATTTATTGTTCAAGAACAAAAGTTGATCTGTTTGCAATATCTCTAAGTATAGATTGTTTAACTGTTCAACTGATTAGTATTTTTGTAAGGGAGGATATTTACCTGCTAAATCCTCTTTCCCTCTTTTGTAAAGTAAATAATATGAATGGATAATGGATGCTAATTGTCAATGATTTTGGGATAAACTGTTTTTGACAACATAGTCATATGGTTTTGATTATATTATGATGACATTAACAATTGTGCTTTTTGTATGCATTATCCCTAATGTCCCACTGTCATGTATCTGGACATATATATATATATATATATATAATATTGCATGCAGATATTTCCAAGAGTTAGTTTTTAGGGAATTTTTTTGTTTCGAGTTTGATCAGAAGCTGTGATCAGGTAAAGGGCAATCGGGGAACCACCTGTTGGATGCTTCATCAGTATATACCCACCGCCAGGGTTCGAACCCAGGACCTTCCGGTTGTGGGAATTAAGCCATTCAATCACTGGAACCCGATTCCATGACCCATTAATCTCAACTTTTACTAATTCATGATTCGTGGGTCCCATTGGTTGAATGGTCTATGAGCTTGTCTTGTAACTGGAAGGTCCTGGGTTCGAAACCTGGTTGGTGCGTACTGATGAAGAGTCCCAAAATAGTATGAAACAGCTGCTTATTACTGCTTGGTTTTTCATTAGTTCTCTGACTGATATCAGCTCGTGATCAAAGTTGAAGTATGCGGATATCTTTTCCAACCTCTGATCGTGTCTTTTAGGCTGATCAGAAAGGGATCTTTGTAGCCTATACGAAAAACGAATTATCGTATCAATCGGAAGTAAGCTCAACGCACTTAAAAGTAGGTGATCTAGGCTTTACTTCCACTGTCTTCACCAGACGAAAAGGCGGCGATTGGCGGCTGTTTTGTTTTGTAAAGGTGAAAAGATTACTGATATAAGAATAAAACTTGTGCACTGTGGTAGAGTGTAATTCCATTATGGGTAAATTTTGTTTTGATAAAGTCTCACAGTGTTATACAGTAATGTTTACTGATGACGTTTCGAGCACAATTTATTGCCGCTCATAATCATATCAAGGTAATCACACGACTTCCTAAATTCATTTATATAGTTCCATTGTTTTTCTCTTGATTTTCACTTGATTTGATTGGTAATAGTATTTTCCATATTTCGGGTATGAGTGATGAGTCATTCCTATTGCATGTGTTGGGTGTAGACTCGATGAACAAGGATTCAGTAATCAACCTCTCTCTCCACCCACCTAGATTACTTTTTAGAATTTTAACCCTCTCCCACCCTATTGTGTGGTTAAGTGTCAGCGCATGCATTGCAATTGCTGACCTTTTTTCTAAATTATTTATCTTCTCGGGGTCAACCATTCTTACCTTAGCTAAATTTTTATGCTCTGACAATCTGACTACCCGTGACCTACTAGTTTGACCTATGTAGTTGACCTCACAGTCATTGCATGGTATTTTGTAAATAATATTATTTTGTCTAATTGGGTCAACTGGGTCCTTTAACCTGCAGAGCTTGTCCCTGAGTGAGTTTGTAGGTTTAAATGCCACCCTAATTCCTATTTTATTCAGAATCCTACGTAGTGTCTCAGATGTCCCCTCTTTATATGGTATAACTGTGGATGACATATTCTTTCTTATTTATGTTATTATTACTAGTTTCACAATTATTTTTATTTTGTTTTTGGCCTTTAATGATCTTCCTAATGAATTTTATAGGATAGTGAAAAGATTACCTGTTTTTGAACATAGGTGCCTGTGCTCTATCTCCTGCGTTAAGTGGTAGGCTTAATAAGGTGAGCAATAGTGAGGTTACGCATCAAGTGATAGGTACGAAGAAGAATTCAATCGACAAAGCTGTGAAGTTACATTGACTGAGAGAGATGGTTAGGACATGTGTTATGCATGCATCCCTAGCCATCGCCTTCCTCAACAATCAATATTGGTTGATATAAGATCAGGTTGGAAAACAGCCAAAGGTTGTCCAACCAAAACATGATTTCATCAGTCACTGAAATCCACAACAGTTCGTTTAAGCCACGTAGGAAGGTGTAGACTTCCTGACTGGTTGGGGTCCTCGGGGCAGTAAACACCAGTGGCTTGGGACAATTGGTGATATGGCTCAAAATCGTTCTCAATGGCTGGCGCAGATGCATGCACTCCTTATGATTTATAATCTCTAATGAAACTGTTTTGCTCTTTGTTTTTAATTCGCGAAAAATACCCATTAAGACATTGAAATAAGAACAAATAAGTTCAGCGAAGAGTCTCTTTTCGGCGAATTCATTCTCTTAGCTGTACAGTCGCAAATATATACAATTAATTTTGTGTGTGTGTGTGCATAAGGTTTGTCAAAATCAAAATCAAAATAACAGTTAGTGTGGGTTATTGGTTACATCATCAAAATAATAAAGAAATTAAATTGTGTGAATAGTAATCAAAGTTGTAACTAAGTAGGGTGAGGAATGGTAAGATGTGAGTAGGGTTACGTCATCAAAATAATATAGAAATTAAAATGTGTGATTAATAATCAAAGTTGTAACTAAGTGGGGTGAAAATTGGTAAGATGTGAGTAGGGTTACGTAATATAGACATGTTTAGAAAGATTAGATGTTCGTGAAGGAGTATGGAGACAATTATGAAAATAAACTAGATAATAGGTGAAAAGATTGAATGGGTTAGTTACTAAAAATTATTATACGAATATTGCAAAAAAATTTGATAACAAAATGTTGATGACAGATGAACTTGAAATTAAACCCACGGTAGTAGGAGGGGGTGGAGAAGTTTCTTCTGTGTGCATAATTCAGGCTTTTCTATCCAAATCGCTAAGGCTTCGGCAATACAAAGTATACGGAAGCTTGTCGATTTTGGAAGGCTTCTTTTGACTTTATAGATGACTTTGAATGACTTCTCCTTGCAAATCGAATGACCAGTGTTGAGTACATGCTCAATAATGGCGCTCCTTATTGCTCCATTGTTACCTTTCCGTAGCCAGGCGGGATAGTGTTCTTGAACTCTTTTAGATAAAACTCGCATCGAACGACCTATATACCTCGCTCCGCAAGAGCAGGTGAATCGGTAGATACACATGGAAGTGGTCAAATGCGATAGTTTATCTTTAGAGTAGTTGAAGAACAATGGCCGGGAGGAAAATGTCAGTCGTAGTGTGGCAGCGAAGAATGTCCTTCTTAGAGCAGTAGATATCCTCTTTCTTCAAGTGTCAGCCAGAAGGTCACCTTTGAAGGGTACATTCATGTAGACCATCTTCTTCTGCACTGTAGTGGGTTGTTCTTTGTAAGTCTTAGGCTTAATATGCTTGTCTATAAAACGGGGTGGGTAGCCATTCTCGAGCAGTGTCTTCCTTAAGAGGGCGATCTCTTCTCTATTGATTCAGGACTGCAGATTTTTCGGATTCTAGTCGCCAGAGATATTATCAAGTTTCGCTTGCGACTAATTGGTACCCAACTGTAGAAGTTTGTCAACTGACCGTTCCATGTAGGTTTTCTGTGTACTGATCTGTTCAAGGTACCATCGGTCTTCTTACTTAAACGAACGTCCAGAAAGGAGATTGTCTCTTTGGTTTCTACTTCGATTGTAAATTTGATGGCGGGGTGGCAACTATTGAACACTTGAGAACCATATTTTGATCACAATTGTTATCGCAGATGACGAAAGTATCATCAACATACCTTTTGTATAAGAAGAATTTGTCGATGGTTGCTTTCAGCGGACCATTTTCCAAACTTGCCATGAAAATATCAGCCAACACCGGACCCAAAGGTGATCCCATCGCCACGCCATCTTGTTGTCTATAGAGGTTCCCATTGAATGTGAACTGGACATTTAGGGTACATCTGAGTAGGAGTTCTTTTAGCTTGGTGGTAGGTATTCCAATATTCAGGTTGTTTTCTTCCAAGTATTTGCATAGAAAACAAATCGTCTCAGTGATAGGGACGTTTGTAAAGAGAGACTCGACGTCGAGTGAAATCATACGTTTGTCTCCCACTTTAACATCTTTGATACAATCGATGAATTCAAAAGTATCTCGAAGAGAATGTTTTGAAATTCGTTCTCTAACAGGTTGTAGGAGTTCTGCTAGCCATTTCGCTATTGGATGATACGGAGATCCCGACATGTCCAAAATAGGGCGCAGTGGAAGACCTTGTTTATGAGTTTTTGGCAATCCGTATAGTCGGGGTATTATTGAACCTGTCGGTCGAATGCTCTCGAAAACATTTTCAGAGATAACTTGATCAGTTTTTAGCTTTCTCAAGATCTCAGTTAGCTGTTTTTCCGTTGCCTCGGTTTTGTCTTTCTCTTTCTCGCATACTGAGAACTTGTTGTTATCTGAGAGAATCGCCACCATTTTATCAATATAATCTTTTCTATCCATTAAGACTATACCTGTACCTTTGTCAGGGCGTGTGATAAGCAATTCTTTGTTCTGTCTTAGTTGGTTGAGTTGTTCTCTATGCTCTTTGGTCAAAAGAATGTTGAACTTGGACTTTGTATTGAGATACTGTTGACAGGAGTCTAGAATAGTAGACTTAAAATGTTTGAATTCTTCTTCGGAAGCTGGGACAAGATCAGTAGTCTGATTGATCAAATTTTCAAACTCGACATAAGTATTGAGCTGCTTATGTTTGAGTTCATGTCGCAAAATCTTGGTCCGAGAGACAAGGCCTCCAATTGTATGGGAGATAACGTTACTGAAGAATAATTGAATACAAATTTGCTGGGATCTTCTGGAAACTTGCGTCGTGTTTCTGTAGCTTTGAGACTTTTCAATAAGTTAGAATGGATGGCTTGTGTACGCTTCTCCGTAACCAGAGTGACATAGTCGGTAAATGCTTGTATATATTTGCGACTGTACAGCTAAGAGAATGAATTCGCCGAAAAGAGACTCTTCGCTGAACTTATTTGTTCTTTGTTTTTACTATTCCTTTGTCTCACACCTCTGTTTACTGTCTATTATGCATTCCTTCTACTTTCTTCTGTTGCTTTGTGTGCTACTTGGAGTGTGGCGACTTGAACTACCGCACATATGTGCAAAGTTCTATGTCGAAAACAGGCAGACAGAAAGGTGAAAGGGGAACTAAAATTTCTCCATTACCTACTTGTTTCTAACCACATTTTGTCTTCAAAGGTGTGCTACCACTCAATATCAATTAGTTCTACGGTGTTACGTATGACCTAATCATAATGGATTGATTAGAGTATAACAATGTTGATAATTAGATGATGGGTGAATTTATATTACTCTTAATGGGTAGTATTATTTACTCTGATTAACTCTCACTTCTTCACTCTACCATTTCCTTTCCAGACAACATTACGTTCAAATATTCCTCCTGCTACAGTTGTCACACGTCGACAAATGATTTTAAATGGTAATTCTAACAGTCGTATTCCATCAGCATCATCAATCCCGTCAACAGTTTCAGGAAATTCCACGACTAATAATACATCAACGTCAAATAATCATTGTTATTCTCAGCATCATTTGCCTACACAACGTCCTATGCCGTCAAAATTACCATCTGCTTCAAATTGTGTGAAACACAGTACACGCTCGAGTACTATTGATAATATTGATTCCAAGTCAAGTAATCATAATAATACTAATAATATATCAAATGAAATAACTGGTCTTGTTCAGCCTAAATCATATAGTGCAATAAATTCAGAGAATCAAGTAAATTCTCAAGTACGTGGTCGATTAAAAACTGCCTTCTCAAATCTCCGTCGTAGTAATAATGGTTCACATGTCCCCAAGTCGAATACACGTACTGCGAATACACCATCTAACACTTCTGCGTCTAATAATACTACCACAACAACAACCACTACAACTGCTGCTGGTAACAATAAACCAACTTCTGCTCATGCTAATGTATCACGTTCTTCAGAACAGGCTAAAACAAATAATACAAAAAGTCATTTACAGAATAAATCATCCTCTTCAGCGTCGTCAAATTCCAATTCGTCAACAGGTGGTGGCGGCTGTGGAGGAGGAGGGACACGTCGTTAACTTGATCGCATTAATTGTTAACCGCTTGTTTACCCCTCTCTCTCCCCCCTTCTGTTGTTTTCCAGTGTATTATAATTAAGAAGTGTAATAAACTGTTGACGGGAAAATTTTCCTCGATTATTATAATAAAAGACAATAATTTTAACCCGGTATAGCATTTATACAACTTGACAATTAATTAATGAATTAATTAATTAGTTGTCTTCCATGGCTTCTCGTTTTTTATTTGTTCAATGTTTGTGACTCTTCGATTTTCCTCATTTTGAAAGAAAAAATAACTGTTTTTCCCTTAACGCTGCTTTATGGTCTTGTGTGTGTGTGTGTGTGTGTTCAATTGTTGTTTTTGTTGCAGTCAGAGCGAAAGTTTTTCAGGGTTCTGTTGAGAATTTGTTAGCAATTCAGTATTATACTATGACACAAGTATAATTCACAGCAACGTGTATGCATAAGGTCTTTATTCTCACTCTGTCACTTCACATCATAATCCTGATAACAATTCGAATCTCAGTCTGATTTCTTCTACTCCCTCTCGCCTTTTTTTACCTACTATCTCTCTGTGTGTGTCTGTGTGTATTTTTATTGTTATTCAACTCTTGTAACTTGCATTTATTTGTATTTTACAGATTATGGAGACACAAACGAAATCACTAGCAGCAGCCTTCCTTCTTTTTCTTCTTTTCCGTCATCTTTTTTTTTAACTTCACGTCTGGTTTGTTTATGATTCACACTGGAGGAGAATGATTAGTCTACTTCTTTTTTTCAAAAAAATTTCTTTCATTTATTTATTTTTTTGTTGCATCCTTGCAGATATTGTCTTTTCTCTCTCTCTGTCTCTCACTTCCTCTGTCTCCTCGTCTTCTCCATCTTCTTCTTTACAAAAAAAAACAGTAAGTTTGCGCCAAAAAATGCCTGCCTTCTCTTCACTTCTTTGATGCTCATTATTATTATGATTATTATTACATAGAAGCTATAGATGGTGATTTTGTGTCTGTGTGGTTGTGTATATTTGCGTCATATGGCAGGAGGAGTGGAGTGAGGCGTCTTTGTATATGTATGTATGTATGTACCTGAAGAAGATGTGATTAATCCACGCTTTTTTTTCTTTCCTGCTTTTAACTAAGTGTTTATTGACAATGATAATATGAGAATCAATCATGACATTTGATCTGTTTTACAGTCAGTATATAACATACCTACTTACTGACTTACCGCGTAGTTATGATTCCTTCAAGCACATATGTGAATAAAACTGATGGTGATAATACTACTACTACTACTACTAAAAATAATAACAGTTCATAAATACCAAGTTGTTTCTTTAGTTGTTGTTGTTGTTGTTGTTGTAATATTGGCTTTCTTCTTCCCCAACCCCTTGTTTTTATTGTGTCTTGTATTTTGCTTAGTCATCATGGGTATTATTTTGAACATAATTTATAATAATTTGTGCCAGTCTTGTAGAGTGAAATGCGCGCGTACACATTTTTTTTGTTGCTTTATTTCCCTTTTTTATTATTTGTCTTTGTGTCAGTGAATGATTCATGCTATTCCATCTGTTGGTGTTATTGTTGCCTTTCTTTTCCCTCCTCTTTTTGTCTTTTGTCTGTTTTGATTCTTCCACAGTATTGATGATCTCTGTTCAACTGTGTTCATCTGTGGTTCTTATTTTCCTATGGTTATTACCTCTGTTGAAGTTTATCTCTTAAGGTTATATATCTTTTTTGTGTATACATTTTAAAATTCTTTTTTGTTCTATTCTACAATATTTTGTAGTATTTTATCGCTTTGTGCACGAGTACTTATCACTTACCCTACCATACCACATTATGAGCAATAATCAACTGATCTTATTGAAACATTTTTGAAGAGGTCATTATTATTATTAATATTATTATTACCGTTAGGAAAAATATTCTCTTTCTTCTGTGTTCAAAATGCAATAAAAACAAACAACAACAGCAATAACAACAAGCGAAACAGTTTGGTTTTTTCCTATAGTTAACATAGTGCTACACAGCTACTAATCTGCGTTTGTTTCCAACTTCTGTTTTTCCCCTGCATAACTTGTCTTTCAATGATCTCAAAGTCGACATACATGTATATGTATATGCATATATGCGTCGCTGAAATTCAGTAGTTTATGACATGATACATTTCGTCTTTTGAAGTGTGTTATGTCATTGCTATATCTATACATACATGCGCCTATTGAGACGGTTAGTCTGTCTGTACTCTCTGCATCTTTTTCTTCATGCAATGGTTTTTTGTTAACTAGCGTTTTTCTCTGTATCAACCTTATTATGTATTTATGCCTATTTAAAGGTTTATCTCTTTCTATATATATACATAATGTATATTTTTTTGTTTCTTGTTCAATACTATCCTTTCACTGCTTCAAAAAATTTACTCAGTTGGTCATTCATTTGTGCGTTTTATTATCTAGAGTTATTTCATCACTACTTTTTACGTTCATTTCTCTTTTTCTTGTTGGCAATATTGTTTTCGTTGTGTTTTTCTTCAAATATTCATTTTGTTTGGTTTATTATTTCTCTTTTGGATAAAAATGCATATATATACATATGCAGAGTGAGAGGTGCTCTCTTTTCTTGTCTATTACTCTTATTCTTTATCCCTATCAAACTGTTCCTCTTTCTTTCTTTAATTGTGGACTTACACTAACGACAACACCAATAACCACAACAAAATAAGTAGAAGTATCTCCATGCTGTGCCTAAATTTATCACTTCTGCATTACACCAAAAAGGAAGGAAGTGTCTTGAGAGAGAGAATGAATATACACCAGCCGTAAAAACAGCAATAAACATCATCTTGAATAAAATCATAATTATTATTCCTATTGTTCTGTTCATTTTGTTTGTGTGTGTGCGTATGTGTGTATTATTCAAGTAAGACGCTTGTTTCTTCCCCTCCCTCCTTGTTCATAATTTACACTCTTCATTGATCTTTGTATACATACTTTCTTTTTGTCTTCAATTGTTCATCTTATTTATTATCATAATACTGATACTCTATAAAGTGGGATATTCTCCTCGTGCGTGTGGGCGTTGATTTTGAAATTTCCAGGAGAAAAACGTGAACTGATTCAATTCATTCTTTCAACAAACAAACAAACAAATGTGTTATCCAATTATCTCAATTTGAGTTATGTTTAAAATTATAATCATAACTATCTGTTTGTTTGTTTAATTTGTATTAGTGATATTCTGACGTTGATAATGTTGATAAATAATCATGATATAATGGTTACTCTTTTATCAAATATATAAACTATATTACACAAATCCAAATATTCTTTTCTTTGTTTTTTTGGTTTTTTGTTTTTCTTTGCTTTATTCTTAAGCAAACCAACAGCTGAATTGTTTGTGTCGCTGATGGTGTATGCTTGTGGGTGTGATCATATTTATTTAACACTTCTACTGCTAAACACACTCAAAAAAAGATTACACGCCAATGTAGATAGATTGTTCACGCCATATATGTTTATGCATAACTCATATATAGTAGTCGAGATATATACGTATATATATATATATATATATATATTTTTATTATATATATATTCAACATTTCATCTTTTCAAGTATTGGTTTTGTTGGGATTTAGTTTGATTGGATAGAGGATTTCACCATGAGCTGGCACCAGTAAGACGACCACTGAAAAACTTGGCAGTACTGGACAGCTATTTCGTCCTAGTCTGAGACTCTTCATCAGTACGCCGGTGGTGCGTACTGTGAAGAGTTCCAGACTAGGACGAAACATCTGAATTGTCTTTTGCTGGTTTATATTTGATTTTCAAGAGTTTGGTTTCTAAGGATTAGATTTGTTTATACAAGTTTGACCACGGATTGATATCAGTTAGAGAATCATTGAAACCATCACCAGGGAGTACTGGACAGCTTTTTCCGCCTCCTAGTTTGAGAATCATCGCCAATACGCACCTACTGACAGGGTTCGAACCCAGGACCTTCAGGTTACAAGACAAGCTCGTATACTATTTATCGACTGGGACCCCAATTCAATGACCAGCCCATGAATTCTAACTTCTACCAATTCATGACGCATTTAGCGCGACCACCAACCGATGTCTCCGGTGGGAACTGGATGGACCTCACTGGTGACGACTTCTCACTAGAACTCTAGGAAACTCTTTCCTGTTGCAAGTCACTGCTGCAATTCTGTGCTAAGTTCTATATTGAAACTCAATCAGTGAGTGATTGATTAGTCACAGAATAACGTAGTACTAGTGTTATATCTAGTATAGTTTAAACTGTTCTACATAATCCTTCCGCCTATATGTATTATGGTGCATTGATGGCACAGCGATAGAATGCTCGACGACCACGTATGTGGTCCGCTGTTCGGTCCCCGGCCGACGCACTCGTTTACTTCACTAAACCAGTAATAAGACTGGGGAAGAGGGGAGGTTGGGCATGAGGCTAGCAACCCCATCCTCTAAAAAATCAACAAAAAAATCACCACCGCTACCGAAACTTCAAGCATATAACTTGAAGCCTTATGTTCCACTGGGAACGCAAAGGAATAAAAAAATATTTATTATGAAACTGGGAAAGTGAATCTTTTCGGTCATTCGTGTTTTCATCGGTGTGCTTGATTCCAGAATTTTTAAAGTCTTGCAGGACGGGTTCCGATTAATTATCATACCAGGGAATAGAAAAAGCTTAGAAGTCTTCTTGTGATAATTATAAGAGGCTGATTAGTCCTTCGATGCCCTTTTCCGAAGTAACATAGTGCACCATTTGGCACTGGCGTACATGGAGAACGATAGACTTGTTGTGATGCCTATAATCAGCAGTGACTTTCGCAGAAATTGTGTTTTGCAGGTGTCAGTGAATGCCTCCCATTTACATTTGGTTGTAGATCAGCTGTTGTGGTGTCTCCATTGCTTTGCTCAGATCCAGTAACTTATGAGTTGTCTTTTGAATTTGATTGCCTCGCATTTTCATACTCTGAAGAGATGTTGATGGTAATTACTGTAGAGATCTGTTTAGATCTCCTTACCTATTCAGCTTGTTGTTGAACTAATTTCATCATTTCACTTGATGACTCTAACCTTCCAATTCATCCTGAAATATTCTTTAAAAATTTCCGCCAAGTAGGCCAACTGTTTTGAATCCACTAACTTAAATTTCACATTTAAAGTGTAATTATGAGTTATAAGTGAGTGTATAGGATACAGACATCTAATAAAAGGCAAAAGTATACATATAAGAAATCCTATTTTAGTTGTAACAAACAATAAGCATATCGTTAATATGGATCAATAAATAGGCAGAAGTTCTCACACGTGATTGACTGATTGATCGATTCCTTTGTAATATATCTTGGCTTGTGTCAGAAAAATACTCTTTTTTTCGTTGATTGAAGGAAATTACAAGTTTTAAGGTTTATTGAAAATCGTCTTCTATAAATAGATCAGTCTAAGTGTATGATTTTCCACTTCAGTTGGTTGTGTGAACAGCGTCCTTTAGTACAAAATGATCTGTGTGTATTGATCTATGTTTCCGTTAAATCATATAAAGAAATTGAGAAGTGTTTCAGTGACTGATTGATTGGTTTCAGTTTAGAACTTTACACCGATATGCGGCAGTTCCAGTCGTCACACTTCATTTAGCATACAAAGCAAGAGAAGAAAGTAGAAGGAAATGCAAAACAGAGACAGTAAACAGAGATATAAGGCAAAAAAAGAATAGTAATATCGAAGAACAATATAGTTTTATTGGAAATTATAAGCCGCAAGGAGGGGATGCATCTGCGCCAACACCGAGAGCGATTTTGAGCCATATCACCAATTATATCCAGCCATTGGTGTTCACCGTTCCTACGACCCCAGCCAGCAAGTATACATCTTCCTACGTGGCCTTAACTAACTGTCGGCTTAATCAGTTGGATTATCAACTGACAGGTCACTGTTTCGAGTCCCGCTTCACCTAATTTAGTCCCCACAAGATAGACCAAATAAAGTAAGCTTAACATCTGCCATTACTGAATAACAGATAGCTATACATTTTAGTAGATGGAAATTGTCTCAGAAGATAACTTCGTTGAGATAGAAAACTTAGGTTGCAAAATTCGGCTTTATTTTCTTCATGATTCAGTGGGTGTTTTCGGTAGTAATAATTGCTGAGTTCTTGCTAGATGGTTGGAGGCGATCGGTATGAAGCCTTCTACCTAGGTTTTGTGCCTGTTAGTACTCATCATCAGGGTGTAACTGCAATCTTGAAGGAACTTAAGTCCCTCTCTGCTGAGATTCGAACCCTCATCACCCAGTATTGCAGTCAGAGCTGTTGCTTCTGAGCTATTCGGACTCGCGTTTAACCTCCTGTAGAACTGTATTGGATGCTGTGATTGGACACTAACTAATATCATGTGTCCAGTCCTTTGTTTGCTGCAGACTGAATTCCATCAGTCAAGCATAGTGGCCACATTGCAGCAAACAAAGGACTAGACGCATGACACTACTTAGTGTCCAATCAAAGTATCACTGAGTTCTTTGTAAGATTTTCTAAGCAGAATATATGCAGCAAACATTTTCACCATTATAATTAGGATTAATCAGTCTTTTCAGAAAGGTGTATCGGTTGTCCAACGAGTAGGACACATTACTAATATTATGATATTTACATTAGGTATGGGATGTTTTATAGATGGTAGATAGTAGCGGAGACCATACCACGTTGAAAGCACCGATCACCGAAGTTAAGCAACGTCGGGCCCGGTTAGTACTTGCATGGGTGACCGGCTAGGAATACCGGGTGTTGCCGGCTCTTGACACTCCACACAATCACACATTAATGTGCCGGTGGCACAGCGGTTAGGACGCTCGCCCACCATGCACATGGTCCGGGGTTCGATTCCCGGTCGGCACGCTCCTTTACCTCGCTAAGCCAGAAATAATCCTGGTAAAGAGGAAAGGTTGGACATGGGGCTAGCAACCCCATCCTTCAAAAATAAACACTGCTACAGAAACTCCAAGCCTCTAGTTTGAAGCCCTATGTTCCACTGAGAACGTGAAGGAAAAAAACATAGTAACAACTATCTACCTGAGTTACTAGTTGGTAACTAGGTCATCCTATTGAAATCACTGTTTAATTTGAGTCAGCACTAATCGGCTGGTGATCACGTTTGTGCGTATTGTCAGTTATATGCCTTCAGTGTGTTTTCATCCTTCGAGTTCATTCAGTTATTGTTACACCTAAAATGTGGTTAATTAATGAATAGTAGCAACTACCTGGAACGCAAAGGAATGATAACAGGTGGTATTCTGACCTTCTAAAACATAAGCTTCTTGTTTTTTTTCTAAAAGTTACAAATTAGTGTACAGCTCTCGTAAAAACCTTCTGTCAGATAAAGTTCTAAACAGGATTCTTCATCTTCAAAAGTTTCATCATACGGCCTTGTTCCTTTCTGTTATATCAGTTTCCGACTTGATGACAGCGTCCACATGTAGACAAATGTAGAGCTAATAATAAAAGTACGAACTCAAGCTAAACTTCCCGTCGTTGTGTTTTTGAAGTCATTTCAAATACTTAATAACATATCTATTATTAGGTGGTACTTCTACTTCCTGTCTTTTGGCTTTCATGTTTATGATACGTGGTTATTTTGCATGATTTCAAAGTACACACTAGTCAGTCGGTATACGTGTAACGTTGTGGAACACATGTACAGATCGATAAGCATAGGCAGAAACAGTAAAATCTAGTGATACTTGCATAGCTCTGATAGCGCCTACACAGATATAGAAATAACCTTTCTTTATGAATAGTTGGATGGATCCTTGAACTGTTTGAAGATGAATGACTATATCTGTCTGTCATTCATCGGTTTAGCTAACTAACTAACTGAGATTGTTATTATACCTTCTTATTGTTGTATAAATTCTTATTGACTTCACTATTTATCAATATATCTGTTGTATGATTTCCGGTTTTTCCTCGTAGGCGGTTACAAGTGCTTTTTCGTTGCGAAGTCTGATTCTATCATCAGACAGTTAGTTACTCAGTGTTTACTTGCTACTCACCTGTTCAGATCCTGCAGAAATAATTGATCATATTTCAAAATTCTTATCTCCTTATTTAGTAGTTAGACTACATCATAAATCGTGATTATTTTACCTGGCGATTTGATGGAGAATCTACATTCTGTCACACAGTGACATTACCAGTGAAATTCAAATAGTCTTGTAAACTCTTTTTCTTTCCAGACGTTTAAGAAGTATGTACTCAAGGAAGGTTGAGCTAGGATCATTAAGCCTGGCAAATCTTTCCGTCACTTCAGACTGTTGTAATTATTATTTTTCATTCTTTTCAAATTCCTTTTTTCCTGTTTCGCTATATTAGTCGTATGTCTTATTCCATTGTAGAAACGTAATAGGGTACATGATTTACCTCTGCATGAGTAGTTTCCTAAACTACTGTACTAGTCTAAACTAAAACTGAATCACAGTTATCCGTCTATGTATTGATCCTTCAGATTTGAGTTCATCTTATAGGCCATTGAATTGT